ATGCACATATCCTCGTCACGATACATGCTCATTATGATTGTGATGTAACCCATTTTGGTTACGACAGGAACATTAGAAAATAGATATTGGGTCATGTGGTCGTTAGAAAGAGACGCTGATCATCGCAATTGTGATGATTGCCATCATGGTAACGATGGGGTGATGAAAAGTGCCTATAAAAGGCAATTCAAATAATTTGATACATACAACCTATATTAAAGTCACTTTTACTACTAGTTTCACTCTCAAATTCTCTACATCAATCTCAATTTCTTCTTGTTCTTTTTCTACACTTAATTTTTTGTGTTTTAATTGAAATGCCCCCCAAGAAAAATTGTGTCTCTGGTACATCAACCTCAGCTGCATCATCAACTCAAGATAAACTCATCTTCGCAAATTATCAGTTCCTCTCTCAAGCACATCTAGAGAAATACTTTAAAGTGAAGAATTACAAAATAATGTGTGAAAGAGGTTTTGATCTTATCAATATGAAAGGATACAAAGCTTTAAAAGATATGTTGGAAGAGAGGCGTTAGATAAGACACACAATTTTGATCCAATAAAACAACAAGTCAATTGGTTTATAATTTTATACGAATGCAAGGTATCATGATTTAAAAGTGTACATATCATATGTGCAAGCTAAACATATAGATTATAGTCCTGATGCTATTACTTGATTTGCGTCCCTCAGGTCTACGTGGATTTCGAAACAAAAGGGGCAACAACGACAGGTTAAGTGAGTAGATGTTTGAAATTATGAAGAATTAAATTTGCTAACCATGAGCAGAATGACTTGCTATGCAAGACGTACCGCTAAGGCTCATCATAACACAAATGCGCCCAATTCCAAAAACACGAACCTCATTTTTTGTTCAAACTCTGGAGGAAGGTTTTAATGCTTCAAAGTTCTTAATAAATAAAGTTAAGGGTCTGTTTCTATTTTGAACCATGAGCCTATAAATGTTAGGCGTTTGATGGCTAAAAATATTAAGTACATGGTTGATGCATCACAACATGCTAGTGGAATTTTGTATAATTAATTAATTGCGAAGGTTAGCAGGTTTCCAAAGTCACCTAGATGACAAAATGATTAGTCAAAGGCCAACCGATCAACCAAAGCTCCATGAGAAGCATACCAACAATTCCTATTCATGGAGGTGCGTAAGAAAGAAGCCCAAGATGAAGGCCAAGATAAGTTTTATCATCTAAAGATACAACAATAGTACGAAGAGTCTCACCACCAACAACAAGCCCCAGATTGTATGCAAAGGCTCTAAGAGCGCGCATTTGGTATGACAAGTTGGGCTACTGAAATTTCACCCAATTTGTATGCCGAACCATCCAGATTTGGACCGAATTTTCAATAATATTTTAATGAGCAGTGAGACCATATGCATGTCTAGAATTTGAGATAATATTTTGCAACTATGGAAGACATGGAGGCATACTTCAGAAAGCAGGATCAACCATTGCTCCACAAGAGAGATCAAATGAGAACAACTTGGGCTAGACAAATTCAGGCATTTCGAGATACAATACATGATACACACACATACTTCAACTCCAACAACATATGATTAAGGAGTTTCAAAATTTTCTCAATTTTAATTTTAACTATTTCCCTTTATATACTTAAATTTGATTAAGAGTATTAGTTAGTTTGATTAATGATATTCCCCTTTTATAATTTCTCTATGATTTACTTAATGAATGATTTACCATATCATCTGGAAATTGAGTACACCACTGATTATTACATAAAGCTATGTATAATTGCTCATATATTCTTTGACAACCATGGTAAACTAGACCTCTCCAAGTGAATTGATGTCCTGTGAGACCAAGACCCATCAACTTGTATTGATAAATTTTGGATTTGACAATGTCACACTTCCGTATGGAAAGAGCCAGCGTTCAAAATTTCGTTGAAGTCCACGCCTAACATCCAACCTTTTCTCATTGAGTCAACAATTTTTTTCTTCATATTTCTCTATAAATCCTCCCTACCATCCTCTTTAGGGCTCACATAAATGGGAGTGAAGAACCATTCCTCATTCTGATCTCTGTTAATCTTGACATACATAAATTGGAAGTTCTTTTCTATGATGTCAATGCTGATTTTTTGAGTTACCCAAGCTAAGGCTATACCTCCTGTAAAAACCCAAAGACTTGGAAGTTTTCCAAGTTTCTCCAGATTGACTCTAGTTTCTAACACCATCTTATTATATGGATTGTTTCCTTTCCAATATTATTTGCAAAATCTTTTGAAAGCTTTGTTTGCAGCTCTTCTGTAATTCCACAAAAATAAATTTATCTTTTGATAAACCATAAAGATAAATTAAAGGTTTGCCCCAAGCTCTTCACTTGGCGTCTCCTCAACCAATATGTGCATGTGAAGAAGAGGAAAAAGTGATATTCTGCATAAATGTTGGGGACTTAGTGATATCCACTTTGTCTTTTTTAGATCATTAGGCTCTAAGAAGCTTTGGGCCTAACTGGTCCACAATATTACTTTGCAAAACTTCAGAGTTCCTCCCGGGCTTTTTAAGGTCCAACTCCTCACAGTTTCCCCCGACAACATTCAAACCTAAAATTGCCTCGGTCAAGCTCCATTCTTCCACGATTCTTTCTAAAACTATTTGAGTATTTATATGTGGTCCCCATTTCTTTTATTCTTTTGTTATTCCACGTGTTCCAATCTTGAGACTTTTACTAGCCACACTTTTTTTCTTCCTTTACTTTAATGCTTTACCTTTTTCAATGATGTCCAACCTTGGATTTTGTGTCGCCATGATTGCCTCATCATTTTGTAACAATGGCTCAATGATTACAAAGTTTTCTATAACCGCTTGACCATTATTTCCAATATTAATTCCAGGAACATCATCATCAATGATAATAAAATCTTGATCCTTGTGTATAATCATGGGAGTTAATATCATTGATTTTCGTTTGAGATATGTTGTTTTTACTCGTAGATCCCTTCCCCGTCCTTCATTATTCAACATCCTTCCCTTTGCGAGTTCTTCTGGTTTTTTGAACTACCTTCCATTGGCCATCTTCCACTTGAATCTGAGTCTCTATTGCCTTTCCTTTACCACCTTTATCATTAATGACAACATCTATGGTATCATTTTCTTTCTTTTCCACACACCCATCCTTGTAATGACCGAAATGACCACAGTTCAGGCACAAAAGGTGTAATCCTTCATATTCGACTTTGTAACGTCTTTCTTTGATGGAGAACATAACTAGAAGAGGTTTAGTTAAATCAACTTGACACACAATCTAGTGTATTTCCCTCTCTCTTTTGATAGCGTGTTTTTATCAACATTAACCGACTTACCTATACGATTACCGATGAAGGAGAGGACACGATCATCATAGTACTAAATATGTAGACCTATATAAGAATCCAAATTACTGCTTCTTCAATAGCATCACTTGTCAGACAAAATTTTAGATTCCATTTTCTAACTACTAGATAGTGGTCATATATGAGTCAATGACCTTCAATTAACACAACATATTGATCTTCTTCGCATTTGAAGGTTACCAGATAATACTCTTGCCCTAAATCTATTATGGCCAATGCCCCATTCCTAGCCCACATTTGGTGTAACCTATTTTCTAAAGCTTTGTAGCCGTTTCAAGGGATAACAATTATCATCTCTTCTTTTTCCGAAAGTATTCGAAAAAATTCATATTCTCTATATTTTTCTCTTCCACGCGCAACTTTCCTACATTCACATCTTTTCCAAAAGATACAACTATTCCTTGATTGACATCAATGTTGATTGCATTTTCTATTACAATAATTTTATAAGAGATATTTTTCATTCTTCTTTTCACTTCTCCTTATGTAGTTGTTGGATTTTTGAATTTCTTTGTGCTATACTCTTTTTGATCATCTTCCTCTACTTGGTTCACACAGTTTTGTTTTCGCACCAATACCCTATCAAAGTCTTTTTTTATTGTATACCTTAATATTTAAGCTCATTTATAATTTTTTAGATTGAAAAGAAATCAAAAAGGAAATAAACTAATAACTAATAATAGGTAATTCAGCTGATATTATATAAATTAAATTTGTAATGTTTGATAAAATTAATATTTGAACTAATTGTTTTGAAGCCATAATCGATCTGTAACCATGAGTTGGAAAAATATCTTTTACCAAACAGCCGCATGTGTTCCTTCCTTGCTTAGCTGACTTAAGAAATTTTTTTCTCAATCTTTATTCTTTCCTCATAGTTTCCGCTTCCGTGAGACCCTGCCTCTCCTCCGGCCAATAACTATTTCTTTTTTTAACTTTTCTTTTTCTTTTCTCGAATATTACAATTTTAACTTATTTTCGTCGGCAATATCTAACAAAAAATTAATTAAAAATAGTAATAGTGACTCTGGCAGAAGCAACTAGCGACCAAACTCTCATTTTTTTCTTCACACTCTCCACTATTTAAACCCTCTCTATTTACACTCTACCAACACGTTTCAATTCAAATCTCACTCTCTCTCCGCGTATACGCAATGCAGAGATAGCATCTTGCTCTTTTTCTTAGATCTGCTTCTTTCTCAACAACCACAGGTACGTGCTCCCAATCTTCATTCCTCAGATCGAGTTCATCTTTTCATGCATTCAATTTTGATTCAAGATTCACCGTTTGTTTCTAGCAATCTAGATCCGTTTGATTATTGTGTGTCGGTGCTAAATCTGGCTGATAATGAAAGATTCAACTGATTTAGCTTTATAGCGGTTTGATTTTAACTTTGAAGTGTGAAAACGTTCTGATCTGAATGATTTGTATTGTGAATGTTGCATTCGTTAAGTTTTTTTTTTCTTTCCTGATTTGTGATTGTGGTTTATACTTTATAGAAGATTAATTAGTAATTTAGTAGTCTTAGTTTGTTGATTTGTGTTTGAAGTTTTAAGTTTAGTAGTTATTGACCAGGTAGAAATCATCGGTGAGGTGAGTTGAGTTCGATCTCTAGACGTGATGGCAATAGGAAAATATTCTAGAGTGGATGGTAGAAGATCGGCATCGGGTTACTGTTCAACAGTGACTATTGTTGTGCTTGTTGCTCTATGTTTGGTTGGGGTTTGGGTGATGACATCATCTTCTGTAGCTCCGGTGCTAAATGGTGGAGATGGAGATGTGTCTCAGGAGAGTAAAAATGAGGTGAAAGAGCAAAGTGAGGTGAAAGAACCGGTGGGTGATAATGATAATAGTAATGCTAGGCAGTTTGAAGATAATCCGGGTGATTTGCCTGAGGATGCAACCAAGGGGGACAGTAATGTTAACTCTGAAGAGAAGTCCGAGGAAAGTACCTCGGAGAAGTCTGCTGAAGATACAAAGACAGAAGATGAGGGGAAGAAAACAGAAGAGGAAGGTACGAATACAGAGAATGTTGAACAAACCTCTGAAGCTACAGAAAGTAACAAAGATAGTGGAGAGTCCACTAAGGAATCTGGTTCTGATGAGGGTGAAAAGAAAGATGAATCAGATGACAGCAACAAGTCGAGTGACTCTAATGAAACAACAGATAGTAATATAGAGGAGAAGGTGGAACAAAGTGACAACAAAGAATCTGATGACAATTCTAGTGAAAAGAATACAGATGATAATGCAAAAGACCAAAGTTCAAATGAGGTGTACCCTTCAGGGGGTCAGTCCGAGCTTCTAAATGAAAATTCAACTCAAACTGGATCTTTTTCTACTCAGGCAGCAGAGTCAAAGAATGAAAAGGAGTCTCAGGAATCCTCCAAGACTGAGTACAATTGGAAAGTTTGTAATGTTACCGCTGGCCCCGACTTTATCCCATGCCTTGACAACTGGAAAGCGATTAGGAGTCTTCGGAGCACTAAACATTATGAACATCGTGAAAGGCACTGTCCTGAAGAACCTCCCACCTGCCTTGTCTCTCTTCCCGAGGGATATAAGCGCTCTATTGAGTGGCCTAAAAGCAGAGATAAGGTCGGAATCAAATTTTTAAATTTTCATGCTCTGTTTGTTTTCTCTTTCCTTTCCTAAATTTATGTTATTTTTTCTGCAGATTTGGTATTACAATGTTCCACACACTAAGCTTGCTGAAGTTAAGGGGCATCAAAATTGGGTGAAAGTCACAGGCGAGTACCTTACTTTTCCTGGTGGCGGAACCCAATTCAAGCATGGGGCGCTTCATTACATTGACTTTATACAAGAGGTAAAATATGCATTTTGTTTGGATTGAATTTGACTTTTATTTGTTGCTTTTGTTCTTAACTTTCCAAAAATGTCCATAGAACTTGTATATGCTAAAAAATTGACAATATATTCAAATTTTCAAGATTGATACATAATCAATGCAATTCCTAACTTGTCATGTCCTTTGAGAAAAAATCATCTCATCAACAACAAACTCGCTAGTTTACATAGACTTGTTTAGGGTCCGCGACTTCGCAGATTCGTAAAAGTCTAAAAAAACCGACTTTAAAAAACTATAAATGACACATACATAATAGAACATCATTTAACTTACAAATTCCAATTTCAAATTCCATAATAAAATTGTTACAAAATAAAACAATTTAAGTAGCAAAGGGAATAAGCTATAACAAAGCAAAGACAATAAATATGCATTTATCTAAAAAATAGATCAACAAAAAAACAATGTTAGTTTTGGAGAATGGATATAAAAAACAACAGTAACACATACATGCGAGTAACAAAAACAATAAGCACTCATAACACAACTAAAATATAAACATAATGTAAGATCAATACAATAAACACAACAACAAAATGAAAGAACAATGTAAGTCAATGGGAAGAAAAGCACTACAAAAAGAACAAAGCACAAACTAAAGGATTGAATGCGGGCAGGACTGGGAGAGAAATGCTAGTGCGAATGTGATAGAAACTGCAGTGTAAACCAGAGACGACAAGAAATGCGCAATGAGAACGTGAGATTAGAAGAAAAGGTCGTTCTTTTGAGATTCTAACTTCTAAAACCATAAAGAAAGTAACGAGAGAGAGGTATTCTAACTTCCTTTTAGTGTTTTTTTTTTCTGTGTTTGTTTGTGAAATGGCGGTCCATCATGTTTTGGGCTTTCTTTTTCCTTTTCAAAATCTCATTAAACTTGCATCAGACTTGCAAGTCTATCTGAGTCTATGCGAGTCTGACCAAGTCTAAGCAAGTCTACCATGAAATGAGTCTGGGTATCATGTTTTGGGCTTTCTTTTTCCTTTTCAAAATCTCATTAAACTTGCATCAGACTTGCAAGTCTATCTGAGTCTATGCGAGTCTGACCAAGTCTACCATGAAATGAGTCTGGGTGCAAGTCTACAAGTTGACTCGCGAGTTTGACAGCCACACTCATTAGTACAGTCTTTAAACAGATCTGTTATGATTAGAATGAAAAAAAAATATCATGACAATTCAACCATGAAGAAATTACAATTTACAAATCTTCTTGGTCTAAGCTTATGGTAAGCAACTCATAGGCAGTTGGCAGGAGTTTTACTAGCCCAAGTTTTCCTTTTAATATTATACATGGAGAAAAGAAATTGTAATCTCGAACCTGTCACGTCTTTTAAGAATAATTCGCACCGATATAGCCTTTAAAAGGATCTGTTACGATTGGAGTAAAATATTTTGGCAAAAATATTGATTTAGATGAATTATATGGTGTTCTACTAACCAGCTTCTTTATCAAAAGACCTTATGTTACATAGTACAGTAGGAGAGAAATCTACTTACTTCCATCCTAAAATTTTTTAGTTTCTTAACATGTGTTCACTCTTGATATGGAAGAGAAGTCGAACATTTTTCCTAATAGAGCCTTGATGATGCAGACTCTACCTGACATTGCTTGGGGAAAACGCACACGTGTTATACTAGATGTTGGATGTGGTGTTGCCAGCTTTGGAGGCTTTCTCTTTGATAGAGATGTACTTGCAATGTCACTTGCACCAAAGGATGAACACGAAGCTCAGGTCCAGTTTGCTCTTGAGAGGGGAATTCCTGCTATATCTGCTGTAATGGGCACAAAGAGGCTTCCTTTCCCTGGGAGAGTATTTGATGTAGTCCACTGTGCACGATGTAGAGTTCCATGGCACATAGAAGGTATTCATATTACACAGCTTCTTTTTCCATGATTAGATTAATTCATTATATAGCATTTTGAACTATATTCCCTAAGTCATTTCAATTTTAACTTGGTAAATAAGTTGTAGCTACAAGACGACATATGATATAGTACATGGAATTATAACTGGGTTTTGTTATGCAAGCTATTTTGGTGGGGGTGGGTATGTTGGATCATTTTACGTTGAAATTATTATCGAGATGAAGAGAAAATGTGCAACAGTTGATGAAATCCATGTGTTCGAATTATACCACTGTGGCTCAACTATATAGAATTAATGTAATAACTATGAGAACCCCCAATTTTCTATTAACATGATTACTAGATTTGATTATCCTATTTACATGTTTTCCAAAAATTACTTTTTTACAACTGCAGGTGGTAAACTTCTTTTGGAGCTGAACAGAGTATTGCGGCCTGGTGGTTATTTTGTATGGTCTGCTACTCCTATTTATCAGAAGCTTCCTGAAGATGTTGAAATATGGAATGGTAAATTATAATGAGGGTCATGTGTTGGTTGTGTTCATCTTTTGTGCATTATATAATGTAGGTTTCTTAATCTTGACATTCATATTCATGAGTTTGTTAACAGAAATGAAAGCACTAACAAAATCAATATGCTGGGAACTTGTGGCGATCAGCAAGGATCAAGTTAATGGAGTTGGTGTAGCCATATACAAGAAGCCATTATCCAATGAGTGTTATGAGAAACGATTAAAGAATGAGCCTCCGCTGTGTCCAGCATCGGATGATCCCAATGCAGCATGGTATTCCTTCCTTAACTAACATGGTGTTTTTAAGCAAAAATCAGAATAGAAGTTGAGATTTTATTTTACTTAGTTAATTGCTGATTTAATCTTTGATTGTAGTCACAGTACATTGTGAGAAAACTTAAAAACAGAGTTGATAGTTTTTATTTTTTATAACCTTCATATCTTGTTAAATGAAGAAAGTATGCATAAAAATGAAATGGGACTTTTTATATGGCTAGAAGATCTTATATGTTTCTGCTGCATAATGAACAATCATCATGCTTTGAGATTTATCTGCAAAAGTTTCAATAAATTTAGTATTATAATGTTCATGCAGTCTAATCTCTGTTGTGACAGGTACATTAAATTGCAAGCATGCATACACAAAGTGCCTGTTAGTTCAAGTGAACGTGGGTCACAATGGCCAGAAAAGTGGCCAGCTAGACTGACCAAAGTACCATATTGGTTGTCAAGTTCCCAAGTTGGAGTTTATGGAAAGCCGGCCCCTGAAGATTTTGCTGCTGATGATAAACACTGGAAAAATGTAGTGTCCAAGTCTTATCTAAATGGGATGGGAATTCAGTGGTCAAATGTGCGGAATGTCATGGATATGAATTCTATCTATGGAGGGTGAGCAAAAGTCATTGTTTCGTATGTTATTGTGAATTATATTTGCTTGCTAATATGTCCTCTGTTTTGACATCTTCTGCCAATTCTTCCAGATTTGCTGCAGCTTTGAAAGATTTGAAAATTTGGGTCATGAATGTAGTGTCAATAGAATCCGCAGATACCCTTCCCATTATTTATGAACGCGGGCTTTTTGGTATATATCATGATTGGTGCGAATCATTTAGCACCTATCCCAGATCGTACGATCTCCTTCATGCAGATCATTTGTTTTCGAAGGTTAAGAAAAGGTAAAAATAACTTATTATTCCACATTTAGAAAAGGTTAAGAAAAAACTGTTACTTTTGTTTTGCTAATGCTTATTGATCATTTGTCACACAGATGCTCTTTAGCTTCTCTATTAGCTGAGGTTGATCGGATTCTCAGGCCCGAAGGAAAGCTTATTGTCCGCGACACTGTTGAGATAATTAACGAGCTTGAGAGCATGGTAAAGTCCATGCAGTGGGAGGTTCGCATGACTTACTCCAAGGATAAGGAGGGTTTGTTATGTGTTCAGAAGTCGAAGTGGCGGCCTAAGGAGACGGAGACACTCCAGTATGCTATTGTGTAAGCATGGATGAGAGCCAAAATTATTGGTTTCTGTGTGCTCAAAATTCTCGTGTTAACTGTATTTCCACTACTAGTCATGTACTAGTATCATCTTAGTTAGGAATCTATGTATTCGTCTTTTTCCCTTTGGCCATTAATTTTGATATCCTCTATTTATAATTAGAAAATGGTATTTTCTGCTGTAATGGGGTGCTATAGTGTGAAGGAAATTTGATCGCATTCTTGCAAATTTAGGGGCCATTGATTGATTTATACGCGTAATAGTTGGGATTTTGGAATATCCATTACATTATAAATGGTAGTATTATTTATGGATTGGACGAGAAAAATGTATAATGATTTATGATTTGAAGGTCAAATACTATACAAACTTGTAACCTATTTAATGATTTATTATTTGGAGGTCAAATACTATACAAACTTGAACCCTATTTTAGTACGTTATTTTTTTAGCTTATCTATACAATCTCTTGTCTCCTAAAAGAATAACACATGTCAAGAGTTGTTTCATTTATCATAGGTTAGTAGACCTTTCTATTAATCCAGGCTTGTTTCATTTATCATAAGTTAAAGTTAGCAGACCTTTCCATTGTCGGTCGTGTCGTTTAAATATTGAAGAGAAGAATATTGATGAAATAACAATAAACATATATTTTTTTTAAATATTATTCACATGTCTTTGAAAATAAAAAGATCTGATAATGTAACAAATATTAAGCATGGTCGTTTAAATATTGAAGAGAAGAAAATTAAGCATGGTTGTTTAAATTTTGAAGAGAAGAAAATTGTTGAAATAATAATTAACATGTTTTTAAGCATGGTCGTTTAAATATTGAAGAGAAGAAAGTTGTTGAAATAATAATGAACATGTTCTTTTCAAAATTATTTTCATGACTTTGAAAATAAAGAAGTCTGGTAATGTAACAAATATTAAATATGCTTATAAAGTTTGAGATAGAAATAACAAGGCTGCAAAAGGTCTGATAACTGAAATGCATCATTTGTCAAAGTTGTTGGAAGAGAACAAATATATCTCTAGGTATATAATTTTTGGTGATGGAAAATCCATCTGATATAGAATTTTTTTTTGTGGCACTTGGACTTTTTAAGCACAATGTGCACTGACAAAAATGTCTTTCTGTTTTTGAAAATGTATTTTCGTACGTATTTTCTTTTTAGTTTTTTTAAAATTAGTTTCGTAGGTGCATCTATAAATATTTTTGTATGAGTATATACGGAAGAAATCCATAATCAGTAAACCAGAAAATCAACATTGCAACGATAAAATCAACATTTATAAAATAAAACCGACGTTACATTGATGATTTCGACAAAAATTTAAATACTACATTTCAATAGCCCAGTGGACACTTGCACATCTCTAAGATGTCATCGACCGTTCTTCAGACCGTCGCTTTCAACTCGAGCGAGATTTTCTCTTCAAAACTGAAATATGTTTCCCACATCGTCTTAACACCGTCTTGATTCTTGAGCTCAAACTTGCTGTAAACAACGTTCTCTTCGTTGTCAACTGAAGGTGAACAATACTCAAGCTTCACAACCTTTCGTTTGTCATTGTAAGGTAGGCGATATTGAATCTCGTCTATGATATCGGTGAGGGGGTGAGGTCCATGAGCTTGAACGTCCTCCTGGGTGTTTTCCCGTCGGAAAAGGAGACACTTGCGACATACCAACGAAGCTTGATTTGAAATAACTAACATTTATATATTTGTGTGAATGATAACAAATGAAACCCCAAATTTATAGAAAACCTAGGTGAATATGGACCAACCATATTCTGTCATTCTTTTTTCGGAGCTATATCCACGAAACGAACCCTTAATTATTGTTTCCAGAGGTGTATCTCCGAAACTTTCTCTGAAACTACACAATTAAGAACCTTCCTTAGATGCATATCCGAAACTTTCTCTGCTACATTTTAAAACCAGAACTCAATATAGAAGCACATCATAATAGACAAATAAAAGGCATAAGTGCATAAATAAGGCATAAGAATAAAAGGTGACTATTTTGCACTTCAAAATTTTTACAATTAGTCGTCCGATTATACAAGAATTCAAAACGAATCAAAACAAGTGTCGTCGGCTAAATCTATTGGTGGGACCCCTTTGGACTTTTATGCATTCAATTCCTTTTCAATGTTGTTCAATCTTTCGAATTCGTGCATCCTTCCAACAAAATGATCCAGCCACGTCATGGCATTTGCGGTTGAATGAGTCGTTCATTCTGGTGATGTAGGTGGTATGAGGCATCCCAGTTTCAAGTAAACTTGTACAAAATGTCTTGATTTTGTAAGCCATCCAATACACATGATGCGATCATTTAGATTTTGAGGTGGTGCAGTGCGGAGTGGAAAAAAGGTTTCTGAAAACCCGTATCACGTCAAGTTAATGTACACCCTATTACATGCACATGCAATAAGATGACCCATATCAGGAAGGTCATCCATTTCAACACCGGTGCTGGACCACTCAAGCAAGGAACAAGAGATTCGTAAACCACATCGAATTTTTCTTTCTTTCTATACAACTGCGTGTACGATTCTTATGCATCTTCAACTCTTGGATTAATTGATGACGAACAAGCTCATGACGATACGGTCGATGTATTTGTGCATAAAAATCGACATCTTGTCGATGAATGAAATTTTCAGTGGAATCGGGGTCTGAGGCGGTTTGCTTATGCGGGCTCCTTTCATGACACTTTTTGAGATTTAGGAGTCGGTGAGTCGGGATAAACTTTGTCAAAGTGCTCATAATAAGAAGGAGACCATGTAGTCGAGTTGTCATTCGGTGTAGGCTTCATTTTCTTCGGAGCACCTGTTGTCCTTACCGATTGAGAAGGCGGTTTCATGTCGGTTGTTTCAGGATAGGCAATCTTCCTCAACTGTTCTTTGATGTGGAGTTTCATGTTGTCATCGACCTTTGGGAATCTCTCTTGTATCGCTTCCCATTCGGTCAAAATAGAGATACTCGATTTACCTCCTCTCATGCAACCATCATCATCAAAACTAAGTCTTTTCCAATGAGGGCAAACTTTGCCCATTCTTATTGGCTCACCTAGTTTCTATCTTCTCTTACTCCCTTTGATTTGTTGCACGAAAAAGTTGGAGTTTTGGAGTGAAAATGATATTGAGAATGTAAGGTTTTTTAGGTTGGTGAAGGTGAATGTGGAAGAAGAAAAGACAACACTGGGGAGTGATCATGTAGATTTGAAATATAGCATAAACTTTCGAAGCTGTATCTACGGAACATTTTGACGCTTAAACATTCCGGAGGTGCATCTACAGAAAATTTTCTGAACTGAATTATTTTGAAGTTTTTCCCAGCGTACACCAGTAGAAAATTATTCCGTAGTTGTAGCTCCGGAAATATCCAAATTTTGACAAAAAAAAAGTGCATCCGGATGTGTATCTCTGGAAGCAAGGGGGATAAAAGGAAATTTACTAGGTGCCTAAAAGTATTGACGGGTGGATTAAGAAACTCTATATTTTTGGGTGCATTTGGATTTTTCCAATGTATATGAACTAACACACAAGGCCAATATGTATATAATGTTTGGTGATGGAAAATACATCTGATATATATTTTGGGATTTTTAATGCATCTTATGTATTATTAGTACACCACATGCATTTGAGATTTTTAATGCATCTTATATATTATTAGTACACCATGTGAGAATATAATAATGTTTTCAGTTTTTGGAGATGCATCTTCGGACGCATTTTCATAAATATTACGGAGATGTATCTTCACATGATAATGGTTCTAAAACGCGTAAGAACCCTTATGTTTTCCCATTTCTAAAAAAACACTCTAAATTTTTTTCTCAAACTTTCTTAAAATCAATCAACCTAGTTCAAAGCTTCTTCCATCAATATCAAGTACATCATTCAACATTGAAGTAAACTCTCAACTTGTAAATTTCTTATTTTTGTAATTTTTTTTAATTTTTGTGTAAATGAGTAGAAATTGATGATTAGGTTAAGAAATAGATAGTTTTTGCGTGAATTATAGATTATACATACTGTAAAACGTGTTTGATGGTTAAAAATAATGATATAAATATTATTTTTTGGGGTCTGGTGGTATGCATTACCGCCATGGACGAACTTGAAAATTTGTAGAAAATTTGGAGATGCATCTCTGAAAATTTTCAACGTTAGGATTCTCAGGAACCGGAGATGCATCTCCGTAATTTATCTGTCTTTTTTTGGCTTTTCTTTCTTGTAGGGTTGCTTGTAATAATTGACACTTATCTGGTTTACTTACAAGCATTATGGCCAATAGAGAAGATAGACTGAGGTACGGGAGGATTGCACAACATGCATAAGTTCAGAGGGAGAAAAGTCAGATCTCGGAGGCTCTTGTTCAATCTAGTCTGGTTCATGCAGAAACATCTACTTCTAGGGCTCATGCTTCTCCATATTGTTCTTTCCGTAGGAGATGAGGGACACTTACTAACACATCATTGCCTCCATTTTCTTGTAGGCAACATGTTTCACCCATTTAGAGGCTAGAGGTACTCGAGTCACCGGTGGTACATGAGGCACCAGTGTCACCCAGGGTCTAGAGGGACCTCATGCTGATGAGCTAGTGCCACCTTCAGCTGATGAGGCTGCTGAGCCAAGGTCATCTCAAGGTGTTGAGGCTGATGAGGCAGTGCCACCTTAGGCATTTGGAGGAGGGCCTGTAGAGTTGTCATTGCTGCCTATGTACCCGGACCATATTTTAAGACATATCTGGGACAAAGAGGTAAAATTAGTTGGATTCATTCTTTTTAAATTATGTTTATTATTATATTACAAGTTTCTGACGTAGATTTATTTTTCTACAGGATCGTAATCTGCTGAAGTTTATTAACCATGAGCGAAAGATTACTCGTTTTCCTCAGTCTAATGACGAGTGGTTTCAGGTTGCTTTGTCCTTATTTGGGATGAAGGACTTGTGTAAGACCGGTTATGTCACAGTCAACCAC